AACGCATACTACTGCTAGCTATTGTTGCAAACATTGAAAGTGGTTGAATGTCTCGCTCGCGGATTATGTTTTGATTTGGTCTCACCTACAGAACACTTTTGAACACAATGTCTCGTTTTAAGACGCTACACAAGTATTGTGACTGAATAGCAAGCATTTAATGTAGCCTCAGCTCCAGGCTAAATAGAAAAGTGTGCCCATGGATGGCTTTTCAACATGCTTTTGTTGTGCGTAGTGGTTTAATACGGTAAACAACTAACAAAAAGCTATAACAAACATAGGCTACACAAATACTGTTGTGTTGTACTTGGTTTAATATCTTGTATTTCTGGGTTGATATTTAAATCTTGGATATCGAAACTCATATTCTAAGGAGTCGGACACCAGTAGGCTATGTTACATGGGAACTACATGGCACATTCTGACCACACATAAATTGACAGGTAAAGGCGCAATGGCTCAGACTTAAATTTCCCTCTCAAACTCGTGGGTGCATTAACTCTGAACCAGCTTGCTGCGTCTCTCTCTATTGATGTGCTAGTTGTAGGCTACCCAACTTTCCACCTCATCTCTGATCAGAACCATTAATTCCTCCAAATCCCAGAATGCACGTGTAATCGACTCAATCCAGGTATTTGTTTTTGACAGTTCGATCTGTTGAGCGTTCCCCCTCCCCCTGAACCTATAACAAAAAGTTACTGATCAAGCCTTCACAGTAATTCATGATGCCAACATGGCTTGGTTTTGTGAGTTTTGTTTTATTTTCTAAAATTTTAAGACCTTTTGTTCTAAAAAGGCAAGCTCATAATTTTGCCATACATCCACACATTATAAGCACTATGTGTACTGAAATAAAGATGTCTTTACAGACGTCCTCTCCATATTTTGTTGGTATTCTTGTATTTTTGTGCATATTAAATTGTATATCACCGGGTAAAACTGTTTTAGAACATATTTGTTAAGAATTTATAATCTTAATAAAAAAAATGCAACAAATCCACTCTCTCCTTGATTTATTGTTTGAATGGCATGCTGCCCAAACTTTGTGCGTTGAAGTCATATTTTGTCTCAAATATATGTTTTAATTCCCTGAAACTACAGTCAGAACCATAATCACCTGACGTCTGTGAGGGATTCTGTCCCACTCAGATGCTGCAATAAGGGAGAGATGTAGGCCTATTCTGTAACCAGTGTTAGAAAAGGGGATTGGGGCCTTCATTCATATGTTCCATACACCATACAGTTTATCTTCTCACACCACTGTGGGTAACTTAATAGATATGCAGCCATCAATGGCCATTTTTAACACTTCCTCTAGATCAGAAAGACCTGGTTATCAACACAAATATCCATGACATGTATCATGTATTTTGGGCTACTACATTTCATTTTATGAGCCTCTTCGTCTAAAGACTTTACATCTACCAGGTCTCTGCTTTTTGGACTTGGCTATTATTGACAACATTCATGTTATTGATAAATGGGGAAAAACAGGTTTAAATCTAAAACAAAAGTAGTGTATGAGGTGATACAATTTTACAAATTGGTTGTTAAAACTATGTGGAGTGCAACATTGTAACAACAATGCAGGATATATTTTGTATCTAATAGAGATTGTGTTTAAAACTGTTCCACTTGAGAAAAGGCAGTGGTTAATTTCTAGTCCAAACTCACATATGACTGACTGTGCTACGTGTGCTTGGTTGCAGTGCTGACTGGGATCCGGCTGTGAGCTCTGAGCTTTTTTGCCAGGCATTTCCCCCAAAACTTGCAGTCGTGTTATCTCCGCTATATGCCACTTGGTGGTGTTCTTCAAAATCAATGAATGAAGGTATTAGAAAGCCAATGTAGCGGCACCTCAGGCTGACCTCAGCTTCGCTGCTCCCCCCTCGACACCCTCCCCAACCTCATCCATTCCGCTTCCCATCCCTCCTCCTCTCTCCCCGTCTCCCTCGTTTTTATTCCAACCCGAAACCTCTCGACTCTTCTCAATTTGAGATAGCGCAGTAGGCTACGTCCAACACATCAACGCAGCTATACCTTTAGCCTAGGCATCTCTTTCAAGTCTCGGTTGCCGGCACTGTTTTCCATTTTCCGTTGTGCATAATAATTTGCCATAGGTAGGTCGTAAATAGAAGGCATCACTATGCGCGTCGGTTTTATTAGATTATACTATTATTTAGCATGATTTGAGGATACTACGACTAATAATGGAAGATCAGAATGCGTTTTATATAGGTTACAATTAATGTAGCCATTTTAGCCAAACGGGTAATGGACATCTGATTATGCTTTTTTAATTCTCTCTCTAATTCGATTATTATTTGGAGCATTTGGTCGTGGTAGAGGGGTTTCATCTCCAAAAAGCGATCTGGAAAATATTTTTATATAAAGCTTTAAAATGAGAGCGTTCTCCTCCCACTGTGACAAATGGTGTGGATTAGGGTTCGTTTAGTGGTGTAGAGCGAGCTCCTCCGCGTGGATTCCAAAGGAATAGCATCGGTCTCACAAATAATTCCAAAGACTGGTGCAGTCGGCGAGAATGTGGTTTCGCGTTACAATTTTGTAACACACATTTATAGTGACAACTGGCTTTACTACAATAGCCGTATAATAAACACATTAAAAAATGCTTAACGTGCGTAGTGTGCACTGGCCCTCGCCAAAATATCAAGCAGTTGCTCCTGTCACACACGCATGTGCTTATGTTCAGGCGGTTTCGTTCGTTTTGAGAAGTTTATAGCCTATCATCAACAAGAGTATGCGTCTAGTTTCTTTTAACCCATTGAAGTGACAGAAGGCCGCTTTACCCGCGCGCATGGTCTAAAAGCCCCTCCACCATCCCCATCCTTATCTGCGTCGCCAGCAGTTGATGATCACAGCACAACAGTCGCACCATGCATTTGAATATGTGGGGGGGGCTGGGATGAATATAGGGTGATTCCGAACGCTATGCTCAGGCTCCTCTCCTCTCTTCCCTTTAATTAGGCAGCAGCAAGCAGCACTTTCAGGGGCCACTTTTCTGAACGCGCACAACCCGACAGTGACGAGGCAGAAATTAAGAACGGAATTTGCGTGGAGAATTCGGATCAACTGCAGAGAGGGAAAGAGAGACAGAGGCCTATGAGTGTTTATATTTAACTATGAAATGATGAATGCCTGGAACTATCTATGCCTATAGATCATTTGTGTTACCTGGCCTTCCATATGGACAAAAGAGGTTGGGTTTACAAACTAAACTAATGCTATCAGCACACTGATGACAGGATTGCACCTTTTGTAAAATGTGCAATCTGCTCAAAGCATGAGGGCTCCACAACGGTACAAAATGTAAATGTCCTGTTATTCTCACCTATACCAGGAAGAAAAAGAAAACCAGTATGCCAGATCTGTGTTCAAGTTTAAATATCCTATAGCTCCATTGAGTAAGCCCCACCTCTTCATAATTTATAATTCATGGGTGTTGTTGCTGGTGACCTACTGAACCCCAATATACCAAAGTCTGGTTGATAATTGTGTACCATCAGAGGTATGGGCTCCCGAGTGGCACAGCGGTCTAAGGCACTGCATCTCAGTGCTTGAGGCATCACTTCAGACCCCCTGGTTCGATTCCAGGCTGTATCACAACCGGCCGTGATTGGGAGTCCCATAGGGCGGCGCACAATCGGCCCAGCGTCGTCCGGGTTTGGCCGGTGTAGGCCGTCATTGTAAATAAGAATTTGTTCTTAACTGACTTGCCTAGTTAAATAAATAAAAAATGACTATAATTATTTTCACAATACTGAGCAAACCCAAACCAAGCTGACCCAAACCAAGCTGAGATGAGATGTACTGCCCTGGCATGGTTACACATCCACCATGGATACACATCCACCATGGTTGCTGGAACAGTGTTGGAAAAGACAAGGCCTATGTGAAAGGAAAATGACCAAGCCAGCACGGTACAGTTCGGGTTGGTATTATAGTGTCAAAAGGGTATATTACAATTATTTCATTTTTCATTTCTAACCCTATTTCAGTTGAATGAGTTTGTCGAGAACCATGTAGACATTTTCAAAACCAACCACCAGCTTCCACAAAATAATGACCAAACACCAAAATTATTAACAAATTATTATAATAGGACTTACAACTTGGATGATCGTACAGGCAATAATGACATTGATACATTATGCGACAAAACTGAACAGTTGGCCAAAACATCAGTGGACACTCAAAACAAAAATCTGAGAACTGCTAAAGAAATTAGAATATCTCAAATCATCCAATTCATCAGAGAAACACATGCAAATCACATTCATATCACAACCCCTTGTAATGAAGAACCAAATATAAAAAAAACTGCTCTGTATCAAGGACTCAAGTGTCCAGTATGGGGTAAGAGATATACACATCAGGCCACTCACAGTAAAGCCAAGCTCTTGTCTCGGCAATGTTTATCCAACAAGGCTAACCTATCCCCTCTACACCAGGGGCGTGTTCATTAGTGCACACAATGGAAAACGTTCCAAAATATTACGCAACAGAAAACGAAAATGCGTTTCTTATTGGACAAGTTCAGGTAGCCCCCTCTTTCAGTCCATTTTCTTCCATTTGGTGCCTAATGAACACGACCCTGGTCAGCACTTGTACATTTATAGAAATAAATAGACACACTAGTAAAGGTACACACTCTCTCAGTGTTGCATTGAGAATGACTAACAGCTTTCCATAACACGCTTACACGCTTACACACACACACACACAAAAACGCTTCAATCTCCAGGGGGACAGTAAGAGAACAAAACCAAACTGAATTGAGTCACTGATCATCGTGGTGCCGTCATTGGCAATTTGGGGAGGGTCTTTTTTTGTCTAAAGAGAAAACTTTGGGGTTGGTGTCTGTGCTAATATTGGGGAGGAATTTGGGGGTCTTTCTTGTGCGAGGATCAAGCGTTCATCCTCAAGGGATGCTGGGAGTTTTGTCTCTCCGTCACACACATGGTTTCCTTGGATGGCCGTCAGGGCTTCACAGGCTGGATGGAGATGAGACTGCCAAACTTGAAGTGCTGAATGACGGGGAACTTCTCCAAGCACTAGGAGTAGATGAGGAGAAAGAGAGAGAGAGAAGGGAGGGAGGGAATTTACAAGGATGAATAGAGATAAAAAGAAGATGGTCAAAGAAAGAAGGAAGAAAGAAAACGTTGGGGGGGGGGGGGGGGGGGGGTTAAAAAGTAAGAGGGAGAGACAGGAAAGAAAGAGAGATGGGGTATCAGATAGAGATGAGGAGAGAAACATTTGAGATATTTGTTTAACCTATGAGAAATACATAAAGCGAATAGAGGACGGGTGGTGAAGAACAGAAGCGGTACAATTTGCTTTACTTTGTCTAGTGCGAACTTGGTTTAGCATAATCCATACACACCAACCAAAGCCAAAGCTATGGACTTGGCTAGAACAAGCAACTTCGTGCAATTCACATACGGTGGTCTAGGTCCTAAAATAAAGGTGTCAAAGCTTGCTAGCGAGAGCTTCCCTCCACTGATTATTATCACAAATTTGCGTCGCTGAATATTTGCATACATTTGAAACTTTCCCGGCTCTAGGATAATACAAGGGTAGCTTCAGCGACTGAAGCTACCACAGGGCAGCTATCATTAGCCCTTATCAGCGCACCTTTCATCTCCTCCACAGCTGCCAGTCCATGGCTCAGTTACCTCTGGCTGTGACAATTTGGTCACATTTACATTCGTCTAAACATTGAGAGTTGTATCTGCCTTTCGTGTGGCTAGCTAGCCACTTTCAGACCCGACATTGCTCTTTATACTCTCCATGGACCTCTCAAAATCAGGGCCGTTGTCCAAAACAAATTCATCATTGGATCGTCTCTAACCAATCAGAGTATCAAAGCCAATGACGACTCAGGACCAACCCATCGGTATCTGTGACCAATCAGAAGGGTCAGAATGTGTTCGCATTCTACAAGGCATCAGGTAGGAAAGCATAGCCAGACTCACTGTGGAGAAGAAACGCTAGCGGGCGTGGCGTTGGGCCGGCGTGAACCAGCTAACTTCACACTCAGATCATTGGCATATGAAACTTTGATAAATAAAATGGGAGTTTTTGAGTACAATCTGTTTCTACAATCGTGTGATCGCCATTGAAAACAATTAAATGGAGATGGCTTTCACCTGGCCAGTAGTTCACACTCCTAGAGGTGATAGACTGTTGGGGAGATTGAGTTGCCCAGTTCCAAATTGACCACTAGTCCCTAGTTAAAATAATAATATAAAAAATAAAAAATATATAAATATATATATCCCAAAAAATATATATATAAATATATCTAAATAAAAAGTAACAGCTGGATGGTATCAGCAATATTGCTTCTACTTACTACCTTGTAGCACCACATTGCCAAAATCTCCCCTCGTGGGTGTTTCTTCGGAACGGCCTGTAAAACTGGTCTAAAACTAGTCTATCAAGCAAGGTGTCAAAGCTTGCTAACGAGAGCTTCCCTCCGCTGATTGTTAACGCAATGTTGCGTCGCTGATAATTTGCAAGAAGTTGAAACTTTCTCGCCCTGAAGAATGCACACTGTGTGCCGAAATGTTTGTTTACCCATTAAAATGTTGGGATCATATATAGTGTGACTTTCTTTTCATACACATCTCTAGCTGCGAAGAGTGAAAATATTAAATGTCTCATTGTGCCTCCATCCATTGGAAATGACTGATTTACAGGGGGCCAGTATGAAAAATGTATGCACTCACTAAAACTGTAAGTCGCTCTGGATAAGAGCGTCTGCTAAATGACAAAAAGAAAATGTTTACGGTAGTTCAGTGGCTCAAAGTAATAAACAATGTGAATCCACAGCAAATGCTAAAGTTTTAGATGTGTGGAGTCAAAATTATTATTGCGCAACCTTGGGTAACACTTAATTTACCTAGTATTAGTGCTGAAATATTAACCATTTTTAAACATGTAATTGACCGAAGTAGGTTCAATTATTTGAATTCTATTTTGTTCTGTTTTTTTCTGTGAGCTCCATGCACATTTTCTCACTGCAGTTTCTCAAGAGATAAATCAGATCAAGCCCGAACTGGATCAAGAGGGATAGAGAGATCGAGAGGTATAGAAAGCAGTTGCTTCGTGAGTTCTCTACCTGAAAATACATGATCTAAGTGATTGATAGTTAGTTAGAATTCAGCAGTCATAAAAGTATATCTTATTTACTTAGAAGAACTACTAAAATAGTGATTTTGTCAAGACAGCATAGGCAGCAGCTCTATAGAGATGAGATGATGACTTGGAATGAAATAAAAGCCATCAAATAAAACAAATGTAATATACACAACGGAAATATTTTATTAAAGTAATGTGAATAAATAATGGTTAATAAGTGATAAGCAGTAAAATAATAAAAAATGAAAACCGCTATTATTTTTTGTAATCGAACCGAAACCGAACTGACCTCAAAAAGCACTAATCACTCAGCACTACATTTTACATTTACATTTTAGTCATTTAGCAGACGCTCTTATCCAGAGCGACTTACAGTTAGTGAGTGCATACATTTTTCATACTGGCCCCCCGTGGGAAACGAACCCACAACCCTGGCGTTGCAAGCGCCATGCTCTACCGACTGAGCTACAGGGGACACTACCTAGTATCTACTTCAATATTCCAAGGTATTACATGGTAATAGCATAACAATACTCAATAATAACTATTTTAGTATATTTGTGGTTCATACAACAGGCACCTTGACATACTACACTTGTAACAGTATCAGAGGTCTCTAAAAAAAGGTAAGTACTTCTTCAATCAGCATTTGTTCAGTCATTGTCAATTGACTATATAACATCTGTAAATTAACACCAAAAAAAAAACATCCACACCAGGGTCAGGATAAACATTTGAACAGAACGACTTGTCTGAGTTGCATATTTTATTGTTGAGCCCTGGCAGAAATGGAGAAATTGCGAAAGGGCTGAGGAGGGAAGCAAGCAGCAGGCTAGAGGCAGGGCAGTGGTAGAGAGAAACGCAGAAAAGAGAGGGAGAGAGACAAGAGCACAGAGCTGATTCCCTATGTGGGGCCGGGGGAGGGAGAGTGGAATGCGAGCCTGGGAAGGATGGGGGGGGGGTGTTAGCAGACAGCTTGGCCCCTCAGCTCTGGGAAGACTAGCAGGCCCACTCTTGAAAACACAGGATGTGGGCTCAGGCAGGAGAAGGGGGTGGGGCCAGCGATGCTCTCACACACACACACACACTGACACTGTTCCGCTCTCTCAGTTCCTCTCTTGTTTAACCCTTGCCTGCCTCTTAACTTCTCAATAGAATCATTAGCCTACCATCTCTTTAGAACAAATGTGCAGTTATAAATCACACTACAAGACAGTTTCTATTTTCTCTTTCTTCCATTCCACTTGGGAGGACTACACTTCTGTTTGAATGAACTTGTGTAAACTTTAACGATTAAACTACACTACCCACACACTCAACAAAACTATTTCATTACCCCTGACATGAAATTGAATCCCTAATCTGTAGTACCTCAAACTGCCCCTGGGGAAATCCAAATGACAGAATCACCTTTAAAGGCACAGTCTGTGATTTAAACTAATGAAACTTACCCCTTGATTTGGAAGGGTATGACTGCCTTGTAACCTGACATGACGTATGACTTCACTGTTTATGTCTTTGTTGTCATAGGATACTGTGTTAACTAAAAGATCTACATCTTTAAATCGTGTTTTGTGAAAATAATGTCGCTCGCAGGGAATGTTACTCTTTGAAACTACAGATGTATCATAGAAATTGCTATTTCCATGTTAAAATGTTATGGGACACATTTGCTTTATCGTTTACGTTTTATTTTAGGGGGACCAACTCTGTCAAGGTTCATCATCTTACAAAGTGCACTAGACAGATTGTTTTCACTCTGTGGGGTGTGTCTCCTCTTACCTCTGCCTTGTACATTCGGATCAGGCCCTGGTTGACTTTGGACCAGGTGGGGACAGCACTGATGTTCCACAGCTGATTGGAGTGCTCAGCAAATGGACCAGTTTTCATCTGGGGGGGGGGGGGGATACAGAAAGAGAGAGAAAGAGAGAGGGGGGAGGGAGAGAGAGAGAATAATGAATAATAAGAGAAAGAGAGACAGAAAGAGAGAGGGGGGAGGGGGTGAGAGAGGGGGAAGAGAGAGGATAATAAGAGAAAGAGAAAGGAGGAGAGCAGAAAGATATACATTTAATTCATCTATAAGCTAACCAGCCAATATGGAATATATAAGCCTAAGACATTACAAGACATAATGGTAGGCAGGTCAACATCTCATTATTTTTGGGGTGCCAGTGAGGAGAGTGCATTTCTTTCTTTCTTTGTGTGTGTGTGTGTGTGTGTGTGTGCCCTTATATTTGCCCCAAGGGAAGAAAGAGAGAGAGACAGACAGAGACAAAGAGAGCAAGAAGGGCCCTGAATGAATGAATGTAGTGGTAGTGTGTGGACACTGTCTCCCCCCACAGCTCCCCCATTCCGTTCCCAGCACCTCCCCCCCACCAGAACCCTGAGTGCGGCTTGTGACCGGGGAAGGAACCCAACCCCAGCCCCTGGCTTCCCCCGGGCCTCCACAAACACACACACACAGAGACACCACCAGAGAGGGGGTGGGGTCGAGCGAGGGTACCCTGGAGGAAGGAGTGATTCACAACAGCATGTGGGGAAGGAAATGACTCTCGTTGTTAGTACACTACACACAACCTCCCAGAGAGGCTGAGACTGTTTGAGAGCATGTGTGTGTGTGTGTGTGTGTGTGTGTATATATGCACGTTTGTGTGTCAGCATATGAGAGTGTTCCGGTGAAAGGGTAAGAGAGAGAAAATACGCAAGCAGAACAACTGTACGTCTGAGCGTCTGAGACAGTGGATGAAGGAGAGACCATACAAACACACACAAACAAACAAACAAACAAAAAACAGGAGCACAGAGAGTGGAATGTGCTGAACACACACATCCATAAACATAGGGTAGAGCTGAAGAACTAAAAAGATCTGCATATACACAGAGAGAAACTCATTTCTTCTGCCTCCTCACATAAGGAAAGAAAGAGAGCGAGCGATAGAGAAAAATCTCACTCACAACACACTACGGAACACAAAGCTTTTACAATCTCATCCTGGAATATACAAGGTCTGAAGTCATCTGTCTTGACACTCTCAGCACACAGGGGAACAAACTCCTATCTGGAGGTGACAGTATTCCCTCCCAAATATGCCCTCCTAGACACAACTATGACAAAACAACCAACAAAACCGGGTCACAACTCCTGCAGATCTGTCGCACGCTGGGTCTGTACATAGTCAATGGTAGGCTTTGAGGAGACTCCTATGGTAGGTACACCTACAGCTCATCCCTTGGCAGTAGTACTGTAGATTACTTTATCACTGACCTCAACCCAGAGTCTCTCAGAGTGTTCACAGTCAGCCCACTGACACCCCTATCAGACCACAGCAAAATCACAGTCTACTTGAACAGAGCAATACTCAATAATGAAGCATCAAAGCCAAAGGAACTGAATAATATTAAGAAATGCTATAGATGAAAGGACAGTAGTGTAGAAACCTAACAAAAACTAATTAGGCAACAACAAATTCAATCCCTTTTAGACAACTTCCTGGACAAAACATTTCACTGTAATAGTGACGGTGTAAACTTGGCAGTAGAAAGCCTAAACAGTATATTTGACCTTTCAGCTTCCCTATCAAATAAAAAAATGTCAAGCAGACAACCTAATAAAATTAAAAACAACAAATGGTTTGATGAAGAATGCAAAAACCTAAGAAAGAAATTGAAAAACCTATCCAACCAAACACAGAGACCAAGAAAACCTGAGCTTATGCCTTTACTATGGCAAATCACTAAAACAATACAGAAATACACTACAGAAAAAGATGGAACAGCATGTCAGAAAACAGCTCAATGTGAATCCATAGAATCTAACCACTTCTGGGAAAATTGGAACACACTAAACAAACAACACAAAGCGTTATCTGTCCAAAATGGCGATGTATGGGTAAACCACTTCTCCAATCTTTTTGGCTCTATAACAAAGAACAAACAGCAAAAACATATACATGATCAATTACAAATCTGAGAATCAGCTATTAAAGACTACCAGAACCCACTGGATTATCCAATTACATTGAATGAACTACAGGACAAAATACAAACCCTTCAACCCAAAAAGGCCTGTGGTGTTGATTGAATATACTTAAAACTCTTTAACATAATCCTTCAATCTGGCATCTTCCTCAATATTTGGAACCAAGGACTGATCACCCATATCCACAAAAGTGGAGACAAATTTGACCCCAATAACTTCCGTGGAATATGCGTCAACAGCAACCTTGGGAAAATCCTCTGCATTACCATTAACAGCAGACTCGTACATTTCCTCATTGAAAACAATGTACTGAGCAAATGTCAAATTGCCTTTTTACCAAATTACCGTACGACATACCATGTATTCACCCTGCACACCCTAACTGATAAACAAACAAACCAAACCAAAGGCAAAGTCTTCTCATGCTTTGTTGATTTCAAAAAAGCATTTGACTCAATTTGGTCTGCTATACAAATTGATGGAAAGAGGTGTTGCGGGAAAAACATACGACATTATCAAATCAATGTTCACAAACAACAAGGGTGCAGTTAAAATTGGCAATAAACACACAGACTCCTTTCCACAAGGCCGTGGGGTGAGACAGGGATGCAGCTTGAGCCCCACCGTCTTCAACATATATAATCAACTAATTGGCGAGGGCCCAAGAACAGTCTGCAGCACCTGGCCTCACCCTACTAGAAACTGAAGTTGAATGTCTACTGTTTGCTGATGATCTGGTACTTTTGTCCCCAACCAAGGGTGCCTACATCAGCACCTAGATATTCTGCACAGATTCTATCAGACCTGGGACCTGACAGTAAATCTCAGTAAGACAAAAATAATGGTGTTTCAAAAAAGGTCCAGTTGCCAGGACCACAAATACAAATTCCATCTAGACACTGTTGCCCTAGAGCACACAAAAAACTATACATACCTCGGCCTAAACATCAGCACCACAGGTAACTTCCACAAAGCTGTGAACGATCTGAGACAAGGCAAGAAGGGCCTTCTAAGCCATAAAAAGGAACATACAATTTGACATCCCAATTAGGATCTGGCTAAAAATACTTGAATCAGTTCTAGAACCCATTGCCCTGTATGGTTGTGAGGTCTGGGGTCCGCTCACCAACCAAGAATTAACAAAATGGGACAAACACCAAATTGAGACTCTGCATGCAGAATTCTGCAAAAACATCCTCCGTGTAGAAGGTAAAACACCAAATAATGCATGCAGAACAGAATTAGGCCGATACACACTAATTATCCAAACCAGAAAAGAGCTGTTAAATTCTACAACCACCTAAAAGGAAGTGATTCCCAAACCCTCCTTAAGAAATCCATCACCTACAGAGAGACTAACCTAGAGAAGAGTCACCTAAGCAAGCTGGTACTGGGCTCTGTTCACAACCACAAACAGACTCCACAGAGCCCCAGGACAGCAACAGCAACACAAATAGACCCAACCAAATCATGAGAAAACAAAAATATAATTACTTGACACATTGGAAAGAATTTACCAAAAAACTAGAATGCTATTTGGCCCCAAACAGAGAGTACACAGTGGCAGAATACCTGACCACTGTGACTGACCCAAAATTAAGGAAAGTTGGACTATGTACAGACTCAGTGAGTATAGCCTTGCTATTGAGAGAGGCCGCCGTAGGCAGACCTGGCTCTCAAGAGAAGACAGGCCATGTGCACACTGCCCACAAAATGAGGTGGAAACTGAGCTGCACTTCCTAACCTCCTGCCAAATGTATGACCATTTTAGAGACACATATTTCCCTCAGATTACACAGAACCACAAAGAATTCGAAAACAAATCCAATTTTGATAAACTCCTATATCTATTGGGTGAAATACCACAGTGTGCCATCACAGCAGCAAGATTTGTGACCTGTTGCCACAAGAAAAGGGCAACCAGTGAAGAACAAACCCCATTGTAAATACAACCCATATTTATGTTTATTTATTTTCCCTTTTGTACTTTAACTATATGCACATCGTTACAACACTGTATATAGACATAATATAACATTTGAAATGTCTCTATTCCTTTGAAACTTTTGTGAGTGTAATGTTTACTGTTCATTTTGTATTGTTTATTTGACTTTATTTATTATCTATTTCATTTGCTTTGGCAATGTAAACATATGTTTCTCATGCCAATAAAGCCCTTTGAATTGAATTGAGAGAAAAAGTGAAAGAGCGAGAGAGAAAGAAAGAGAGAGAGAGAAAGAGATCGGGAGAGAGAGAGGGAGATCGGGAGAGAGAGAGGGAGATCGGGAGAGAGAGAGGGAGGAAGAGAGAAAGAGGATCGGGAGAGAGAGGGGAGACTAGAGAGGGGAGGGAGAGAAAGAGAGAGCGGAGAGAGAGAGAGAGGTGAGATAGGAGAAGAGGGAGGGAGAGAGAAAGAGAGATCGGGAGAGAGAGAGATCGGGAGGGAGAGAGAAAGAGAGATCGGGAGAGAGAGAGGGAGGGAGAGAGAGAGAGAGATCGGGAAGAGGGGGATCGGAGAGAGAGAGGGGAGGGTAGGAAAAGAGATTGGGAGAGAGAGGGGAGATAGGGAGAGAAAAAGAGAGATAGGAGAGAGAGAGGGAGGGAGAGAGAAAGAGATTCGGTGGAGAAGAGAGTAGGGGAATCCAATATAGATAGCAGAATCTTTAGATATGCGGACTTGGAGAAGAGAGGATCGAGTGGATCGTGATCGGAGAGAGAAAGAGAGATCTCGGAGAAGAGAAGATCGGGAGGGGAGAGAGGGAGAGGAGCAGAGAGAGAGAGAGGGAGGGAGAGAGAGATCGGGAGAGATCGGGAGAGAGAGAGGGAGAGAGGCTGCAGCATCTTTTTGCTGTTCGGGGGAAGGAACAGGACATAGCAGCACCTCCTCCCCTCCCATCCTGCCACAGTCTCAAAATCACATTCCCCTCTCTCCGCCAGGTTTACTGGCTCACTGATGTAAAGATGGATATGGGGTACTGTGTGTGTGTGTGTGTGTGAGAGAATCTTGTCGGTGGAATGGCTTACACAAATCAGTCCTATATAATCAGTCCTTACTAGCACTGAATTTGCTTATAGCCGCTTTAATCACTATGACTGAGATGTGGTCGTCTCACCTATCTACCTTAAGATGAATGCACTAACTGTAAGTTGCTCTGGATAAAAGCATCTGCTAAATGACTAAAATGTAAAAACAAATATGTAAATATACATAACAAGTCCAATTCCTCTGTCTCCCAAAATGATCAGAGTTCTGTGAACCAAAATTCAGTAAACTCAATTCAATTCAGTGATTCAATTAACACATAAAAAAATTGAATACAATGCATAGAATGCAATAGGGAGAAAAGATCAACTCACGACTCGCGTCAAACACAATTCATGTTGTGTATGAGCTGAACTGCGGTGGCATTGACACTGAACCGTGCAGAACACCCATTTTCAGTTTGTCTTTCTTCTGCCTCTATGTCCATCTCACCTCATTAATGAATTTGATGCACTCCAGAAACATGTAGTCCTGGTGATTCTCGTTGACCACTTTCTCATCGATGAAGTGCTTGGGCTCCAGCGTGGGGTGGTCTGGGACAAAAGGAGGGGGAGGAGAAGAACGAAGGAATGTATTAGACACACTGACCACTGGGTGTCACCCTCTCCCTTGCAACACTGCAGTATACCCTTCATAACTATCAAATATGCATGACACATATTTTCAAATACTTGCGCTGTGCATGAGTAGACTTTGCCGGGGCTAGGGGAGTAGGCCTCTTACCTACAAACTGGGAGCTGCCCCATATGAAAGGTAGAAATTGGAAATCATCCAACCCCCAGACCCCCTGGCTGCCGGCAGGCTCCATTCTGTACGTTTTCTGAAGCTTGCGCATGACCTCCAGATACCTGGTGGGGTTTTAAAAAGAAGGTTGCAGTTTCATTTATAGTCCATACGAAGTACATACAATAGACATACAATCGTTTACAGATTGTGCACACATGCACGCACGCAAGCACACACACAAAACAGTGCCCGTCTCACCTGTCAAACACCTTGAAAATGATGGCCAACTGGTCATCTACTCTGAGAGCTCCGATCTTGCAGAGACAGCAGAGGAAGATGGCAAAGGCAGCCTCGTGACCTGACAACACAACAACCTGTGTTATTCATGAACAGGCACACACGCAGATGTGATGAATATAAGTATCTCCTACTGTTACTAATGGAGTTGCAATGGGCAATACCAAAGTCAAAGTCAAAGTATATTTGTAAAGGACAGCATTCTGAAGAGGGAAAGAAGGGGATTTGTGTTTCAACAGTGCCCTCTAGTGGGCATATGAAACAGGGACGCACACACGTTAAGGACGTGTCTGTGTGTGTGTGTTACCTGTTCCGTAGTCTATCCTGGTGGAGTTGCCCACCGCCTCCTTCAAATACACAGCTATCTCTGGAGCCGCAGCTGCCTTGTCTTCTGGGATGACTGCTGCAACCAGGCCCTCTGCTTCCTACACACACACCAGTTTTTTTTTTTTTACATTTTTGTCATTTAGCAGAAACTCAGAGCGACTGCATATCACAACAAAACCTTCAACACACAAACAATTTCAATTCTATCTATTTTATTAAAAGACTTGTGGATAGGATAAACCCTTTGTGTGTGTGTGTGCGTGCTTACCTGGTCGAGCTTGGCGTACCAAGTCCTGTAGGCCTTGTTGCCGAAGCGAGAGGGCTGGTCTTCAGGAGGGGTCTCATCTATCCAGCGGTCCAGAGTCCCCAACAGAGCCAGAAGCTTCTCTATGGTCTGAAATGAGAACAGAAACATTCACAAAAACCCTGCTAACACATTTAACTGTTGTTATTTGGATACATTTGATTCAATTTTGCCAAGAAGGATAGATTATTATTATTGAGGTGACATGAAAAGCTAGTGGAGACCTATCCAAAAAGACACAAAACTGTAATTGCTGCCTAACGTGCTTCCACCATGTATTGACTCAGGAGTAGGCGGTATACTTCAATATCATCAAGATATGTTTTTATTTCAAATTAATTAATACATTTGCCATCAATTGTTACTTCCCAAGGCTCTAAGGGAAAGAAATGTGAAAAGAACACAAAGGGAGTGAATACTTGTAGTTTGTGTACCAACAATGACCCCATTCTCCCTATAACTCTCTCTCTGTCTCCCTGATGATGGAAAGAAAAGTTTCCTCCAGAGACCCATTACGGAAGGGGGGGGGGGGGGCGTCGCCCATCTTTCACACTGACTGACAGCGTCGCTATGGCTGCAGATGCCCCTCCCCCTTCACCTCCCAAACTACTCCATAATTCATGAAAAGGCGGGACAGTAGCAGTCCGTGTGTGTGTGCCGCTACCAAAGGCAAGAATACAATATAATGGATTTACATTTATTTTTTACACATGAAATGTCAGCCTGTTCAGGTGGGATGGAGTTTTTGGCCCACAGTATAACATCCCAATCTGATCTGATTATTCTTATCAATGACCAGTCATCTTTTATTTGCATTTGTATCTTCCTACTTTGAAGGAGTAAGCGGGGTAGGCTCTAGAGAAAGGGGCGGCAGGTAGCCTAGCGGTTAACCGAAAGGTTGCTGGATTAATCCCTGAGCTGACAAGGTGGTAAAATTTGCCATTCTGCCCTTGAGCAATGCAGTTAACCTCCAACAACAACTGCTCCCCAGACACCGATGACGTGGAAGTCGATTAAGGAAGCACCCCGCACCTCTCTGATTCAGAGGGGTTGGGTTAAATGCGGAAACACAGATTTTGGTTGAATGCATTCAGTTTTTCAACTGACTAGTATCCCCCTTTCCCTTCCCTTAGAGTCTAGACGATCCTATCTGCCAATCTGGGCGGTGTATGTAAATATATTAAAATTTGCATCAACACACCCACATGATCAGACTGAGCATTTTAATGGCAAAAGGAGGCTCAGGGAAATACATTTTGATTTATTAGACATACAGTGATTTAAAAATTCAATTAAAAAGACTGTATGGTGGCTTTCAATGAACAATGTGTGTATATCAATACAAATATGTAATAACAAGAAACACATAGTTTCCATCTGAAGGGATATGTCACTAAATCAAAGTGTTGTTAGAAGGGGTGCTACATACCTCGGACACTTTGTATTCACATGTAAGTTTCTTCCCCTTCACTCCCTCGTTCAGCGTCAGAATGAATCCCATGTAATCAGCGTACGCCTTTGAGGGAGAAAGAGAGAGGGAGAGAAAGAAGGGCAGAGAGATATGGTCAGTACTCTGAATGAAGGACCTGATCTTTTCTAGTTCTCCAATCACAGGTTTCTTGAAACCTTTGTTTACTCTGTTGGGATAATAAAGACTAATCTATTTGAACATGAACTGAGGCACGCTGAGTATGTGGGTTGTGTTCATTAGGCTATGCAACGTAATACGTTTTTTAAAGCTTTTGCAATGGTAAACTAAAAAGAGTTTCTTATTGTCCAGGTAGTCCCTCCCTGTTTAAGTCAATTTTATTCCATTTGGTGCCTAATGAACAGGACCCTGGAGTGTTTCCAATTCCATGTAGTGGGTGTCTAAACCCTCTGGGTTATAGATGGGTTTAGAATTGAACCTATATAGACCTATCATAGGTGTGGCGTACCTGGGAACGTTTCCACTTCCCCATATCAGGAACCATGCTGATCTCCTTTTTGGGCACCATGAAGTTCTGACACACAGGGATCGGTGGTGTGTCAAATTCGGGGGAGGAGCCTGAAGAGTAGAAGGGGAAACTAGTCATGGCATGTCAGCTGTGTCCCAATAGCTTGAGTTGCATGCTAGCTGTTCCAGTCATTGCACTAATTAGCAATGGCTCGCGAAATTACCGTCAGCTTCCTTCAAACTGCACGCAGAGACATAAAAATGGTATCCATGAGTTCATCTGACTCTGGGTAAGTAGAAAAATAGCTAAATTGCCAAAATCTTGCACTATCCCTTTAACCAAAGGGTCAGATTAACATATCCGCACTCTGACCCTGTTTCGATTGGAGCAACTTCTGCTCCTACTTCTAATGCTGCACTGTTAGATGCCTGTTTCTGAGACAGATAATAAAATACTGTCCGCTTCACCCCAAAAAATAAATAAATAATAATCCTTGTGTTTGAGTAATCCCTCTGGAATAAATAAATAAAATTGTAAGAATAACCACACACAAAAATACATGACACACAATACACATGCACACTTTAAATGATTTCATGTTCTGGGTTTTCACAGTCTTTGGACCACTCAGCAAAGTGACAGGGCAAAATAAAGAATGTAACATTGCATAGTGCAGGGGAGTTTTCCAGTTGCAAGTACAGCTTGAATGGAGGCAAACCAAATACAGTAAAATAATTATTTCAAGGACTGAAGGCCTACAGTTGTGTGTGACTGTGTGGAAAACACCAACCCACATAATGCAAACTATATAGGCCATTCTTTTATTAACCTTTATTTAACCATCATCAAGCATTGGCACATCATCCCTACAGATGTTTTTTAAACATAGATGCAGGCATTACATTATGACAATAAAATCATTACTGAGCAGCACATGAAAACATTGATATAGTCTAGCTAATGTCAGTTTTCCCTGTATAAAGCTATGGCACCATGTATGACAAAGCCTAACACCGAAAGGGAAAGGCAGTGACAATAATGCATTTTTCCGTCCATTGACAGTGGCAGTGCATTAGCACGTTCTATCAATAGCTAGCTAGCTAGGTTAGCAAGTTATGTAGCTAGTGTAACAGTCATTTGCCATTAATTGGCTCATGCTGACTGTACAAAATGAACATAGCTAGCGATCATCTATATCATGCATTATACAACGGGTGGGTCTAATCCTGATTGGTTAAAATCGCATTCCAAACGGTGTCTATTCCACAAATTATCACCTGCTACATCTATGACGTTAAAATGCCTATTTACTTGGTTTCATCTGACTGCACAATCCACTGTCTCATCAGCCCTGCCAGTCACTTCATAAACTTGATTTCTACTATAAAAAGCATCTAGACATTATCTCACATTTCTTTTAGACTAACATTTAGTTTTCAACAGCGGATATTTGTATAAACCTTAATGTCTGTCTCTCCGACATTTGCAACATTGTTTAAATATTCAAATTCGATCTCCAGCTGTCCCATAGTAATGAACGTGTTGGGAGTCCGGACAAGACAGACAGGCAGCATTTCTCAGCCAGTCGAAATCATGAATCAGCAGGTATCATTTTTATGGATATATACAAAGAAATGTCAATTGAAAAAAGGTAAAACGAAACGAAGTGCAGCTATTTTGCAGACTTTCCAGCTTCAGTTTGAAGCGATTGTGTTAGCTGTGTTATTGGCTAGTTCCTCTGAACAACAGTGTCCTGATGAGTGAGCACATTTTCTATGCCAGGCGAAATCACTCCTCATTAGCTCATTGTTATGTCCCAAAATAAATCTCACTAGAACACAGCTTAAACAAATGCGACTACTTTGTTGTTATTCTGGGTACACTTTGACGTGACTGTAAGTTAGCCATAGTTGGCTAGCTATCAAGCAAGGGATAAGAACATTGCCAGCCAGTATGGCAATGGAACATTTAGAACGTTGCGTTCATAGATACAGAACAAAGACTTAACGACTGGGTCGGGTCTCTAGCAACCGAACCGAGCATAGCACATGAAACATTGATATAGTCTAGGTAATGTCAGTGTGCCCTGTATAAAGCTATGGCACCATGTATGACAAAGCCTGACACCGAAAGGGAAAAGCAGGGACAATATTGCGTTTTTCCGTCCATTGACTTCATGCCCAAATGGCTATCTAGTGGCAGTGCATTAGCACATTCTATCAATAGCTGGCTAGTTAAGCAAGTTACGTAGCTACTGTAACATAGTCAGTAGCCATTAATTGGCTCATGCTGATTGTACAAAATGAACTTAGCTAGCTATCATCTACATCATGCAATAGATGATACAAGGTTGTTCTATAATTTGCTCACTACTAGCTAGCGCCTCGAATTAGATAGCTAGTTAACCACTACTGGCACTAGCAGATAGTCTAGCTGGCTAGCTACATTGCTAACCAGGACCCATTCATTGCATTGGCTCACGAAAAGTTAAGAGCAGCATTGTTCCACATGGGGAATCTACTTCTTTCTAATGAGAAACCATTGCATTCATTTAAATACTCCAGAAAACTCAGCATTAAACGATTAAATTAGCTACCTGAATGGTGTTCAGTCTCCGCCATGTTTACAAGAGTTGAGGCAGAGCTAGAACGATGAGCCAGATATTTCATCGGATGTATAAATGTGAAGCATCCGGTTGGCGTTTCCACTTACTACCGAATATGGTGATGAGAGGAAGCCAAGCGGGAGAAGATGGCGCGAGATTGATTTTGGCCTACATTCTGCAAATGTTCTCATCGATGAAACATTTGATCTCAATACAGTTTTCTGTTTCCAAAAATAGAATCGGACTGTTTTGTAGACTTTACCCTTTGGCAAAGTAAAAAAAATAAAATGCGTTGTTTAGAAGGGCGAAGTGAGTTATTGCACACGCGCGCTTCACAGAGTAGGCGTTCCCAAACGGAAATATGTAAATACATGCTAGAACAAGCCAATAGGATCTCGCTAGCTCGAGCTTGGCTCTGCCCACCTCCTTGCTTGTTCTTGCCATTATTATTAATTTGCTCCCATTGGAAACAACAGGATGTGGTCTATCTTGGGTTAGCTATAAAAATCTTTGGTTGAGGTTTTGACAACATCAGTCACCTTTCAACTTTCACCCTAGTCTTGAGCGTCTTTTGCAGCGCCCTCGTGCGTTGTTGCGGTGCACTGCACGAGACTAGTGCGTAGGCACCATAGAGGTAGATAGAATCGGATTTGATTTGAGTCCTCTATTTGTCACATGCACCAAATACAGCAGGTGTAGACTACAGTGAAATGCTTACTTAGGAGCACTTTCCCAACAATGCAGAGTTAAAAAGTAAGAAAATATTAGCAAAAAATAAGGTAATATGAACACTATAAAATAACAATATTGAGGCTATATACAAGGAGTACCGGTACCTAGTCAATGTGCAGGGGTGCAAAGTAGTTGAGCTCATTAACATAATATGTACATATGGGTAGGACAAAAAGTGTCTAGGCCAGGGTTGCCCAACTCTGTTCCTGGAGAGCTAATTATTAGAATCAGGTGTGCTAGATTAGGGTTGGAGCAAAAACCTACAGGACGGTAGCTCTCCAGGAACAGGGTTGGGCAGTCCTGGTCTAGGCATCAGGATAGATAATAAACAGAGTAGCAGCAGACCTGTCTTTATATCTGTGTCATTATAGCATCTGTGACAGCATGGGCAGCGCCATTGAGGCTACAACCCATAGGAATCCCCACCCAGTTGACTACTTTAAAATGGCAGAAGCATGGTGGAAGCCCTCAATGGCGCTGCCCATGCTAAATTGGCCTTTTGGCCTCTAGAGGCCTTTATTATTCTCTATGGTAGCGTTATTTTCTACAAGCTCTTGGTGCTTAAAGACAATTTGGACCTCTGGAAAACAAAACGAGGTCAAATCATGACATCAGCGATCTTCAGGTCGAAGCTCTAGAAAGATGCCCGAGTTTCCGACATGGAATTCAGAGTTGGATGACCATTCAGTTCCCAATTGTCTTGAACGAACTGAAGTCGGAGGTCTGAGATTTCCGAGGTCGTAGTTGTTTTGAACGCGGCATTAATGCAGACGCAAGATTCGATGTGTTGCAATGTCGTTTTCGCCACAAAAGAGGCGGCTCCTTGTAGTACGCTCCGGCATTCGATATAATTGTTTTACTACCTGAAAATTGAGACACGCCGTATCATGCCTTCCGCAGCATGGCGGCAGTGTTGTCACTTAGTTCCTTGATCTGATCTACACAACATTAGGAACACCTGCTCTTTCCATTACATAAACCACGTTTCCATCCAGTTTTTATGGGAGTAAAGTCATACCATAATTTTAAAAAATCACTACAGCTGTGAAGGAAACTAAGTTTCGGTACAATTGTATAAATGCAGACAGATCAGTTCGACATGGTGGGATCTTTTTGTGTTGGTAAAATGTATTATAAGAGAAATGGCGGTGGAAACGCCTTTATAAACAAATATTGATATAACAACCATCATATCGAAGTAAACTTGGAGTCAGGCCATGACATGGTGCGTGGTCCTCCCACTACAACTCGGGAAACAGTTTATTAACAGATTAAATAATAAGGTATGATCAGTGGTGTAAAGTACTTAAGTAAAAATACTTTCAATTACTACTTAAGTAGTTTTTTTGGTATCTGTACTTAACTTTTTATATTTTGGACTACTTTTACTTCACTATATTCCTAAAGAAAATAATGTACTTTTTACTCCATACATTTTCCCTGACACCCAAAGGTACTCGTTACATGATGAATGCTTAGCAGACCAGGAAAATGGTCCAATTCACTCACTTATCAAGAGAACACGTGGTCATCCCTACTGCCTCTGATCTGTCAGACTCACTAAATACAAATGCATCGTTTGTAAATGGTGTTGGAGTGTGCCCCTGGCTATTCCTAAATTTTAAAAACAAGAAAATGGTGCCATCTGCTTTGCTTAATATAAGGCATTTGAAATTATTTATACTTTTACTTTTGATACTTAAGTATATTTTAGCAATTACATTTACTTTTGATACTAAAGTATATTTTGAACCAAATACTTTTAGACTTTTACTCAAGTAGTATTTTACTG